AGGAAGACCTGCACTGTACTGCCAGTGCGACCTTGGGCACATAGCTCCACCTCTCTATGTTCTGGGTAACTCTAAGATATTGCAGAGAACATGAAGTCACCAGCCCAGTACTTATTCCCTTTCCCCTAATGAAACTGAAATATCATCACTGGACATTCAGCTTCTTGATCTGTGGTGATTATAATGAACATCAGGCTTTCCCCAAGAAATCCTCTCTGAAAATAACTACTTACATGTCAAGAGCTGCTAAAGATGATGACGATATAGAAAAATCCCGCTGAGAACCTTCAAACCAAGTAAACCAACCACTTAAAACTCAGTGTCTGTGCTGTAAAGATGGGCCTGTAAGAGGAATGCTGAAAATAGGTAGGAAAATGAATCTGGTTTAGGATTAAGAAGAAAAAAGGGGGCAGGTAGGTGGCACAGTGGATAGAGCACCGGCCCTGAAGTCAGGAAGACCTGAGTTCAAATCCGGCCTCAGACCAAACACTTGACACGTACTAGCTGTGTGACCCTGGGCAAGTCACTTAACCCCAATTGCCTAAAAGAAAAAAAATAAAAAGAGGCCAAAGGATTGTAGATGACCCCCTCGCTTCATGTCAGTGTTTCATGAATACTCTCTTCCAAAAAGAGTGGGAAAGCAGTGCACGTGACGAACCCCAAACATCAAATATGACTGCTTAGAGAGGTGATTGTTGTCTGCCTGCAGACCGACCATCAAGTTATACTGTGGCTCTAGAGCTGAAACCAGTTCTTCCAGCCCTCCCATTTTACAGAACAGGAAAGCAAGGCTCCAAAAAGTTAAATAACTTGTCCGGTGATAAATAGTGAGCCAGAATTCAAACTCAGGACCCCTGACTCCCAAACCAGCGCTCTTTTCTCCATGATGTGTCTATAGCAAAAGTCAAAAGCAACATCAAAATGGAAGAAATGATCAAGATAAAAAGATAGGGCATGCAATCACAAAAGTTCCATATTGACCTAATTTAATAAGCTAATGGTACCAAAAAATGGGAAATGGATAAAGGAACATCACAAGCTATCACCACCGTGAAATAATAACCACAAAAAAGAGCCCAGAAACCATCTCGCCAACAAACGCTGCTCAATAACAGATTTGAAAGCCAACAACAGCAGCTTAGAAGATAAACTCATTGAAAAAGACAGATGGTGGAAGATTATAAGCAATTTCCCATAGAAATAGTGTTATTAAAAATGCATGTGTGTGTTTGTGTGTGTGGTAGGTCCCCAGGCAAGTTCTGGGATTATACTCAAGTCTTTGCGTAACTGAGCTATAGTAACGTGCTAATATCACCTCATTCCTCAGCTGTTACTGCTGTCTGCTACCTTCTCAAGTTACCTTCATTTTATCTGTCTATGTGGTATCCTTATCACTATGGCCCTCCTCCCCTAGGAGATTGTAAGCTCCCTGAGGTCTGGGACAGTTTCACTTTGTGTTTGCAGCCTTAACACTTAGCATAAAGCTTTGCACATAATAGATACTTAATAAATGGTTTTTTTCTTTTAATTTATAACTTTGTTTCCATAGAGAAATATAGGGTAAGTCATACATCAGGACCTAGTCAGTCAGAGTTGTACTTTCTCCCATATTCTTTCCCCAGCCCCCTAAATCTGCAATAGTCATAGCATCTGAAGTACAATTCACAGGGGTCCCAAGAGGCATTAAGTAAGGTTTAGTGACAATAGAAGTGGCAGAAGAAGAGAGGGAGGCTGTTACACACAGGAGGAGTCACAGTGAAGTGCCAGTAACCCTAGACGTAGTGAAGAGAGAGTGTCTAGTAGAGAGAGAAGCAAATCCCTAACTGGAATAGCTATTTGTAAATATGAGCTGCTTAGAAACTGGGGCTCTGTAAGCTACACCCTCTGTGAATATTGGTGAGAAGGGCAAAACAGGAGGGAGGGTGGAGTAAGAAAAAAAAGAAAAGAAAAGAAAAGAAAAGAAAAGAAAAGAAAAGAAAAGAAAAGAAAAGAAAAGAAAAGAAAAGAAAAGAAAAGAAAAGAAAAGAAAAGAAAAGAAAAGAAAAGAAAAGAAAAGAAAAAAAGATGATGGAAGGAGATGAGTGGACAGAGATAAACACCCAGCTAATTTTAATGCTATAAATTAGTGGTAGAGCAACTAAATTTTGCTAAGCATGGTGAAACTGCCACAGTTGTTCAAGGACCATTTTCTATTTTCTGCCAAATATTCTGCTTTTTTATATTTGCTCAGCTGAAGGGAGATTACTGTTACTGCGAATGGCTAAAAAGTTTATAGAGTCAATATCCTACTTGGATCAGAAAAACCCCGATCCACCCCACCCCCCCCCACCCCCAAGTAGAATTACTTATTTTCTAAAGGCCGCCTGGTAGGTGGGTCTATATATAGCACAACTAGAGGCACTGGGCAGTATCCAGAGAGGCAAGGATAACCTAATACCATAGCTTCTTTATTGAACAATTAAACACTAGGATCTATCAAGCCCAATTCATAGACAGCATTTAAGAGTAAACAGCTCCTCTATAATTAGGCGAGCCCATTCCTTGATTTGCTTGTATCTCTCATGTCTGTCTTGAAGGACCATAGAGTTAGAGCTGAAAAGGATCTCTGAGGTCAGTGAATCTAACCCCCTCATTCTACAGATGAGGAAACTGAGGCCCACAGAAGTGAAGGATTCACCCAAGGTCAAATAGGTAACAGATGGCCTCTGAGCTAGCCTCTCTGCTCCAATCCATCTCACACACCATCGTCGGTATGATCTAATTGTGAAAAGGGCTTCCTACAGGAGGTAGCAAATACCCGAGCTGAGCCTAGAAGGAGGCTAGAGATTCAAAGAAACTGAGAAAGGTGGAAAAAAGGCCACTGTAGGCATGGAGGACAATGCATACAAAGGAAAAGAGAAGGAAAGACTGAAGAGGAGCATGAAGGAGGGAGCCTAGAGATTACCTCATTCAATGCCCTTGTTTTCCACATGAGTAATCCCTCAAATTCCAAAAGTTTAATGTCTGTTTAAATCAGTTTCATCACTATGCCCAAAGGGCTATAAAAATGCGCATATCCTTTGACCCAGCAATAGCACTTCTAGGGCTGTATCCCAAAGAGATCATAAAAATGGGAAAAGGACCCACATGTACAAAAATGTCTATAGCAGCTCTTTCTGTGGTGGCAAAGAATTGGAAATTGAGGGGATGCCCATCAATTGGGGAATGGTTGAGCAAGCTGTGGTATGTGAATGTAATGGAATACTATTGTGCTATAAAAAATTATGAGCAAATGGACTTCAGAAAAACCTTAGAAAGACTTGTATGGTTTGATGCTGAGTGAAGTGAGCAGAACCAGGAGAATGTTGTACACAGTAATGGCCACATGGTGTGATGATCAACTTTGATAGATTTACTTCTTCTCAGCAATGCAAGATCTAAGACAACTCCAAAACACTCACGATGGAAAATGCTGTCCACATCCAGAAAAAGAACTTTGGAGTCTGAATGCAGATGGAAGCATACTGTTTACTCTCCTTTTCTTTTGTTGTTTTGTTTCTTCTTTCTCATGGTTCCTCCCATCAGTTCTAATTCTTCTTTACATCATGACTAATGGGAAAATATATTTAATATGAATGTATAAGTAGAGCCTATATCAGATTACACGCCATCTTGGGGAGAGAGGAGGAGAGGAAGGGAGAGAAAATTTAAAACTTAAAATTCTATGGAAGTAAATGTTGAAAACTAAAAGTAAATTAATTTTTAAAAAATCATTTTCTTCATTTCAAGCCAGGTTCTATGGATGTGATGACTGAATTTATGAAATTTGATCAATGGTGGGGCTTTCCTGGTGGGAAATTTAAAATGTGTTTTCATCAAATTCCATTTTATTAATTAAAGGATAGGGTGTTAGACTCAATGATTATTCTGCACAGTCTACAAGTTGGGAACCTTCTAATTATTAGCCCCTCTTCAGAATCAAGGTTGCCAGATTAGCCTAAATTGGCTAGGAAGGAGGGTTGTCACTTAACAGTACCTCCAAGGTGCAGGCATTCTCTCCACGAAAGTAGATTGCAATTCATTTACAACAGTTGATGTGTTCATTTGTTTTGATTTGTTGGAATTCTTTGTTACAATAAAAGATGAAGAAAATCATTGAGAAGTAACAGTTCTATAGGAAAGAAAAAGCATCAAGTAGGCCTTTCTTTCTTTCCTTTTTTTTTTTTAAAGAACCGATCTTTAAGTATGATGGGGATAAGCTTCACTAATGGCACCATATGTTAACATAGGTCACCTAGGTCACTTTATGCTCAAGTGTAAATCCCTGGGCAAGCATGTGATTAGAAAAGTTTCCAAGGTCCCCCAGGGGGTCACAATAAGGCCTGGGCTAATGAAGCATGTTGCCCCCAAAGCACTGCCACTGTGGACACTCTCCACAATATGAGAAGCAGCAGACATCTCGGATTTTGATGCAGTCCTATACGGGAGACTGTTGAGGTCTTGAATGTTGAGAGTTTGCTGTGCCAACATCCACATTCTTCACCTAAGCAATGACTTTTCTTGTTCTTCTAAACTCCAAGGGATGTAGAGCCCAAGGACAAAAGAGAAGTGCTAACGGGGTGGGGGTGGGAGGCTGGGCAGCAGGTAGCTGATGGACTGATTACATTAATTTTATTCTTTTGTAGATTAAGTAAAAGGGGAGCTGAGGTGAGGAAAGGGAAATGGAGGGGGGAAAATGAGGGAGGGGGGAAATGGAGAAGGGAGAATGGAGGAAAAGGCCAATTTTCACAATTCAATTTCAATTATATAAAATGCTTACTTTCCTTATTAGCTATGTAAATAAATTAAAGCAAAGCACCCTGATTAACTTCTATGAATACTTGAATTTCTGATAATACATGTCTTACTAGAAACCAGTTATCAAAATTAATTACCATCAAAATTCATTGTATTTAACATTCAAAATTACACAGAATTATTTCTCTAATCTTTTTCAGGATTCCTATGATAAATAGACTTACTTGAGAATGTCTTTTAATAACAGGCTGGGTCTTCTCATTTTTTTTGGAGGTTGGGCATACCATGGCAGGGAAGGAGGGCAATCACTCTTCGGTTTCACATAGTTATACTCATTTGGCATTGCTGTTAATAGATAGAAAAGAAGAAAATGAAAAACAGAGAAAATGGAAGGGAGCTAGAAGAAAAGAGGGAGAAAGGGGAGGGGAAAAGATGCTAATTTACTCAGGCAACAAGCAACATCATGCTTCACATTCAAGGTACTCTCAGAATATTTATTTCAACTGAACAGGTTTATTTGGTAACCACCCCATTATAAATGGCGTGATTTCTGCCTCAAATTTAGAAACCCTACAGCCCCTCTTAGGCACAAATGTGCCAAGCACAGGTGGGAGCAGGCCATCAGGCAGAGAGTTCTATCCCATACTCACAGGCCACCCTCCCAAAGATCTACAGCCACGCAGTACATCCAGTACAGTGTCCTTTCCCAGGCCTCCTGAGGAGATTGAAGGAGAATCTAAAGGCCTTTCACTCGAGTCTTGGCTCATTCCTTCCCAGTCTGTCCTCAGTGAAGTTACAAATATTCTCATAAGCGCAAAAAGGAATCTTAGAAAGCCAGCTGGCCTGATACTTTCAGTTTACAGACAAAGGCATTGAGGCGACTGGGGCAGGAAACGTTCTTGGTGCCAGACAGTAGGTCCCCAACCCCAGAGCTCGCTCCATCCTATCAAAGTTGCTGGCAGGTCTTTTCATCTCTAGGCTCAATAATATCTCCCCCCCCCATTTTTCCCACAAGAGACAATACAATAGTATATTGGAAAGAGAGCTAGCCTTTGCATCAGGAACACGTGGGACTCTGAATCCCACCTAAGATTCTTAGTAGCTATGGGACCCTGCACACGTCATTCACAGCCACTGGGACAGCACTGACTAAACTTCATTTGTTAAAATGCTTCATTTGAGGCTCTATACCTCTGTTAATAATTCTTAGATGGATGGACTTGACATGGAAACTTTTTTAATATATATTTTTTTCAACATTCACTTTTATAAGATTTTGAGTTCCAAATATTTTTTCTCCCTTCCTCCCCTCCCCCTCCCCAAGATGGCATGCAATCTGATATAGGTCATGACATGTAGAATTTCTTAGCTGTAAATGCAAACCTTCCTCTGAGAATATAACAGAAAGATATTGCTTGCTAGAGAATGTGTGTGTGTATGTATGTGTGTGTGTGTGTGTGTATGTACGTGTGTGTAAGATACATTGGTAAATCCAAGTCATATCTAATAGAATCCTTGTGAACTCTCTCTCTCTCTCTCTCTCTCTCTCTCTCTCTCTCTGTCACACACACACACACACACACACACACACACACACACACACACACACACACACACACACACACACACACACACACACGGTCCAGTTCTCTCCTACTCTCATCCTTAGCCCCTCTTCCCCCTGGGTAGCATTCAGATGTAGAACCCAAAGTGAATGCAGTCATTCTGAGCAAAGGCTCCACTGTTCTCCCCAGCCAGGAAAAGGCCCCAAGGCTATTCCCTTAGGCTCAGGTTAAGCTAGTTAGAGACAACAAAAAACTCTTTAGGATACTTGGATTTAGTCCTTTGTGCCTTACACTATTTTGCCTAACAGAGGCAGGTGGGTGCCTTGGTGGATAGAGACTAGGACCTGAGCCAGGAAGCCCCAAGTACAAATCTGCCCTGGTACGCATTTAGTATGCTAGCACTTACTAAATACATGCTTTATCTATCTCTCTACCCCCCATGTCTGGACAATGATCTTTCCTCACTCATTGCCCCTCCTCAGAATCCTCATTATCATCCCCTTGGAGGGCCAGCGCAGACGCCTCCATCCCTGATGCCCCCTCAGCCATGGTCACTTTCTCTCTCCTCATCCCTAGCCTGCAATCCCGGTGCACACTTTGTATCCCCTCTCCTCTTTAGGAGAGTGAACTCCTGGACGGCAGAGACTGTTTCACATCTGTCTCAGCAGTCCCAGTGCCTTGCTTATGGAAGGTCCGTAACAAATGTCGGTTGATTTTAAACTTAAGGCTGACAGGAAAAACCAGAAAAACAACCTACACAATAACAACATAAAAAGAAAGGAGAACAATAATGAATTAAATCCTATTCAATGACAGTGAGCAAGGCTGGAAAAACAGAGACATGGAGCGTCTTTCCTGCTCTGCAGAGGCAGCGTCCCTCAGCAGCCTTCTCACGCAACTCGACAACAAAGGAAGCCCCACCAGAGCACACTCCACAAGCGGCTGCTAAGACTCTCAGCGAAGACCCCCAGAGTGGAGAGAGCCGCTTCTTGAGGCGAGCCATTCCCTTGGGACAGATCTCATCAGGAAGTTTTCTTTGACGCCCAGCTGAACTTGGCCTCTTTACAATTTCTACCCATCGTTTCTGGTTCTGGGCCAAACCGAGCCATTCCCAGCCTTTGCCCACATGAAAGCCATTCAGATACTTGAATATAGCCATCATGTCTCCCCGTCCTTGGCCTCTGCCCCTCCCCAACTCTTCATGGCACGAACTCAAGGTCTTCACCACCCGGGTTGCCCTTTCTAGACACTGTCCAAGCCATGGTGCTCAGAACTGACATAGGACAAGGGCAGAATGCAGTGGAATTATCACAGACTTGTTCCTAGGTATGATGTCCCCTAATGCAGCCCAGTATCACTGTGACACCATGCTGCTAATTCCTATTGAGATTGCAATATTGGAAAACCCCCAGATCCTTTGCAGAACAACAGCTGGACCTCCCAGCCTGTACTTGTGCAGTTGATTCTGTTGTATCTACTGAATTTCATTTTATTGGATTCAGTCTAATACTCTAGCAGGTCAAGGTCCATTTGGATCCTGAATCTATCATCCACTGTGTTAGCTATCTCTCCCAGCTTTGTACCACTTGAAATGTGATAAGCCTACCATCTATGCCTTTATCTATGACATCAATAAAAACGTTAAGCAGCACAAAGCCAGGTACAGATGCCTGGAGTTCTCCACTGGAAACTTCTTGCCACAATGACATTAATGATGACTCTGAATCCAGCCATTTAAATCCATCAAATTCCTCTCATCTACTAATTTAGTTATCACGTCAAAAAAGGAAATCAAGTTATTCTGATATGACTATGGATAGGGAACAGTACATATATTATCAGGCTTGGTTAGGTAGTTTGGCTGACCTGCTTTTTTCCTCCCTTTCTTTTTATTCTTTGTTATGAGATTGCTCCATTCATGTCTGTGGGGGGGGAGGGGGAAGGTGGGTCTATCTGGAAATAATGGTCATAAAAGAGCTTTCAATAAAATTGTTTTTAAAAAAGAAACTAAGAATGATGCATCCCAAGATGACTAAGTTTGTAAAAAGTATAAGGAAAACCCTTGACTAAGCCAAATTCTCATACCACATAATTATGGGCTGGAGAAGTAAATTCTAGAAGCTAGATCCACGGCAACAGAAACCAGATGATATCAAGGCCATGCCAAGACATCAGTTAAAAAAAAAAAAAGGAAACTAAGAAGAGGAGGCCGTATGTGGTTGGAGCTGAGGAGCAAGCTTTATGGCAAGAACTTTTATAACTTATGAAACTGGTTAATCTCAAGTACAACTGTCACGCTCCCCCACCCCTAATACACAGGCACATCTGAATATTTCCCAATAATATTCCTTAACCATCCCCTTTAAAGATCCTAAGACAGTAGCTCCCTTCCAAGTAGGAAAACCCTCTAAAAATATCATGGACTCACCCTCCCCAGAGCAGGTAGTTGGACCAGAAGTCATCTGCTGGTTGAGAATAGGTAACAGAAAAAAACCCAAAACTACAATGCTTAAGTTATTTGATATTTTGTTAATCACTGTACAGTTATATAAATTTTAAAACAGTAATATGGCTGTGAGACATTACTTATTCAACCTACAGAAGATATGCTTGAGAGCTTAGCACAATGCCTGATACAGAGTTAGCATTATCCAAATGTTAGATATCATTACCATCATCATCATCATTATTTCTTATTCTGAGTAATTTAGTGAGATGGATCCCTTAAATGAACTCTTCAGCTCCTATAGGCTGGAAACTACTAATCTAAGGGGTCAGCGTGCTATTATCAGGGAACAGTAGAAAGTGTGAGTGGGGATGAGGGAGTGGGATGGAAGCAGGAAGATGGCAAGTGAAACTCCTGTCATTTTCCCCTTGAAAGGATCAAAGATGATCAATTTAGAGCTGAGAGGGGCCTCAGACGCCATTAAGTCCAACCCCTCCACCCTGCAGATGAGGAACCTGAGACTCGGGAGAAGTTGATTTGCCCAGGGTCACACAGGTGTATCTGGGTCTCTCTCTCTGTCTCTCTGTCCCCCCCCCCTTGTGTGTGTGTGTGTACATATGTGTGTGTATTCATTTTCTTTGTGAACTGAAGCCAGGACAATGGATAAGGGAAACAAAACCTATGTCAGAATGAATGTCAAATCTATATTCCCTCAGCTTTCACTGTACTTCAGGAATATATATCTAATTCCCATTCAGGGAAATAATTGGCATTTAGACGTCCAACAAATAAAAAACAAACATGTGAAATGAAGATAAAAAACCACTCTGCCTACCTCACTGGATTGTTACAAATCAATCAGCATGAGTTTATTAAGTACTTTCTATGCACCAGGCACCGAGCTGAGCACTGGAGATACAAATACAAAACATCAGCTGCTCATATTTTAATGGAAGTCAAGATGTGTAAATCAGAACATACAAGGTCAATAAAGAGAGGATGGATGGTCACTTTTGAAGGGATGACACTAGCAGCTCACAAGAAATGTTTCCTGGGACTTCTAGCCAAGATGGTGGCCTGACCAGAGGCAGCCCATCAAAACCTAAAATCTATACCAGACTGAATATTGACCAAGAAATGCTATAGTGATTTCTTCCACCCCAGAACTGCACAGAAAAGTTAGGCAGAAGCCCCAATAAGAAAGGGAGCCACCAGCAAACTTGTGCCAAAGAAGGCAAACCAACCAGCAGCCTTTCAGCAGGACTCAAGAAGGGCCAAGGTCACATGGGCAAGACTTTGTGCCTGAAGACATTAAGAGTGGAGGGTCCTCTGGG